AAGTTCAGAGTGGGCAAAACAAAGCAGCAAAAAATATTAAAAATAGAAAGGCGGAAAAGGAAGAAGGCTGAAGGCTGAAAAAAGTTGCGAGGGCGTGACACAACTAAATGCATTAACTTTTTTCATTTTTTGTTAGCACCAACCTGCACTTTAATCTCATTAAGGGGAGCGCAGAGCAAATTATTGATTATGTCGTTAATAAATATTGACTCGCCACTCAGTACGGGCTATTAAATGCAATTTAATGAAAGCCGCCCATGCGGCGTATGCGTAATTTGATAGAGCAGTTAATTCAATCGATTTCTGCACTGTTTTCAATCAAATGGAAATGGAATACAGAAAGAAATCGCAACGGAAACTGTGGCGTCGATCTCATAAATATTCATGGTAACTGTTATGGCTATTATTATATATTTTTTAGCCTGAGTGCCGCAACTAATTAACATGGGAAATCGCAATCCTTTACCTCTCAGCTTAAAGCCCGTTAATGATGATATTTTGGGCAACATGGCCAATAGGATCGCTCTTCCATATCCATTAACTAGCTATGTGAGAACCTCATAAGGTGCCTGTCGTCGGCAATCAATGTCCTTTGTTCCACTAAAAGCAGTCCTGCCCCCCAAAATACCTCCACTGGGTGACGAAAATTAACTTAGTCACACATGGAATCTGGCAAATTTTAATGCTAATTTCGTTAGGCTGACACATTAAGGACACGAAGTCTAAGCCAATAATAGTACGTTCCGTGCTGCGGGCTTTTCTATTATAGTTGCATGATCCAGACTCCTAATGCAATGTCTAAGTGGCAGCTGCCTTAAAACCTGATTTGGCATACGGCATCAAAGTGGGCCACATTAATCACGAATTTATGAGACATTCAGTGGGAGACACCCTTAACGTTGCAGTATTTGCATATTTAGACATAAACCTTGACACACACGCACACACAGCCACAAAGGGGTCCTTGCAGGAGGCGGTGGTCTAGAAACTGCGACGATTTGAGTGCGCGACTGCCACAGGATTCGGAGATGGAGCCTTGAATCCTCCAGCCGGAGCCTGAGTGATGATGGAAATGTATGCGGTCGCTGGCTGTTGCCACATGCATCAAACATGACTCAGAAATGCAGTCGCCATTAAATGGCAGACATTTAAAGCCCTGAGTACATTCACTTCGATTCCCCGTTGACAACGAGGAGCATGAAAATGCAGTGAATTCTGCTCGTTTCCTCCTGCTTTTTAGAGGTTTGGCTGGATAAACGTGTCTCTAAATTAGCTGAGAACTTTAAATGCAAACGCAACTTGATTGAAGATGTCTTTCTTGGCTTTTCTAGGTGCTGTTTGATTAGGCTACTGTAACAGAAACTCTGCAAAAACCCATCAGTTCAGTTGGCCAAAAGTTTTGTCAATTAAAATGTGAAAAATACGCCAGCCTGTCCAGATGATGGAGATGTAAATGGAGATGGAGATGGAGATGGAGCTGGTGCTGGACAAACAGTCCAGTGAGCCCCAGTGCCAGTGCCAGTGCCAACTAATAAAAAGTTTTTGCTGGCAAGTCGCAAAATGACATTGCAAGTAATATTTTGGCTATATTTGGCCCAAAACTTTCACTTGCAACTGTTGCCACTCGGCAGGACGAAGGACGAAGGACGACGGACGCATTTGCATGCGCCCAGAGTGCCAGAAACTTTTATAATTAATAAATTATTTATGAAGACCGAATGAAAAGACGCGGCCAAGATGGGGCCAACGAAAACAGGCACAACCGACTGCAATTCACTTCATTTTAAATAATGAAAAATTGCTTTGCTTTAGCTCTCGGCCAGCATCATAAATAAACAAGGACGACCAGGACGAGAACTTGTGCACAAAGCGAAGGAGCCAAATGCAATCTCCCTGCGACTGCAGCATTCGAGTTCGACTGGTCCATTCAATGATCCACAACAGATCAGGGACGCCAGTGGAGCAGAAATGGCCAGAAGGTCCACGGCCCAGGATGCGATGCACTAATCCATGCGGAATCGCAGAATCGCAGAGTCGCCGGGAGCACAAATTAATAACAAAATGCCCAAGTCGAAGCCCAGTGCCTCGCGAAAATCGCACAATTTGTTAGACGTTTGGCATTTGAATTGATTGAAAGCACGGCCGAATGAACGATGCGATGCGGAACGCGGATAGAAATTGGCGAAGGAATGGATGGCTGGAGTAGCAGGCGGTGGCATTCAATTCAATTCTGGCAGTTTATAGCTGGCCAAAAAGCGAGTGTGCACTAAATTGAAGTTTCAAATGTGGCTACATCGATGGCGAATTCCACCGCCAAGAATTGCAAACGCTTCAGCGCCTCGGCGCATTTGATCGATTTTACATTTTTACAACTTCCTGATGGGATTGCGATTGCCGTCATTGATTTCTAAGGCGGCTCTTAACCTAAGCAGCTTTCTCCGAGTTCATTGCTGATGCGAAGGGAGCAGGAAAGTTCCAAGAGCTATAGGTGGAAGCTCGATAGAGATAGTTAACTTCCCTTCTCTGCTCTCCCCTACTGCATATATATTTCCTTAATTATAGCTTTACATTAGCGAATTGACATTGAAAGGGAAATGTATGGGATTTTACGCCAAATGTAAAAGATTTCAAAGTAGTGAATGAAAAATGTGCTGGGCAGTTAAGTCTTACCTTTACAAATAAGAGCGACTTACTGTATTTAGCCAAGTGTTTCGTCCTAAAAACGATGCATATTTTTTTCATTTTTTTCTAGATACATGGCATTGTTCGTCCTTTTGCTGCATTGCTGATGTGCTTTTATCCACTCTGGCACTCTGGCTGCTACCGATATGGGATAAGTGCTTCCTGCCGATGCAATTGCAGCTGCATCTGGCTCTAATGATGCCATAATTGCCTTTGTTCTGCCTGCCAGACTGTAAGCGATACGTGTGCCAGCCCACCTGCCCACCTGCCCATCTGGCCACCTGTTTGGCTTGTCATTGTCGAGCAGATAAATGCCGAGTCGTCATAGTGCACATAATTGTCAGGGCGCACAAAGCGGCGTCCTTAAAGCGTTTTCCAAAGCGAGCTATCAGCTTTCAATCAGGACAGCCCCTCCTAAATAGCCAACCAGCTGGGGGCGGCATTCTCCGGGGATTTATATACTGAGAATAGGAGTTGGAAAAACGAGCGAGTGCCAGTGCCTCAAAAATAAAAGTCAAAAGTGTTGCCAAAGCATAAAATGGACGACAGTCCGTGAAATTAAATGCCAGCAGGACATTGAAGTCGAGCTGAGTCCTGCCAGTTTCCTTCTCGCCACCCCCAGCCAAAAAAAAAGGAGCGATTTTTGTGCGGCAGCGAAATATTCACGCACAATTATTTTGCAACGACAAAAGTCATTAAAGTTCCCTTTTGTTATGTGGCAAATGTTTATGTAAAATTTATTTTGTTTCCGCTTTATAAAAGCCATTCGGAGTGTTGGCAAACCAAAAAAAAAAAAAGTAGCAAAATAAGTAAAAAACAAGGAAACTAGCTGCGAAAAGCGGTACAGAGAGTTGCATTGTTTATGTTTATAGCTTTTGGCACATGCTTTATTTTTACGCAGATTTATTTATGGCTATTTTTACTGCATACTTTTCAGCTGCTGCTCGACCGCTCGACCGCTCGACTGCTAGCCTCAATTCCCCACAGACAGAGCAAGAACAAAATGAAATCCTTTTTCTATTGATTTTCCCACTGGCCAGAAGCGATTATTTGTTTTGCATTTTCCACACCGTCACCCAAATGACCCCAAAAAAACAGAACGTTGCTTAGTTGGGGGCTGGCTCACTGGACTCACATCCAGAACGTCCTGGAATTTTCCGATGCCATCTCGGAGCACAAAACCCAGTCCATTTCGGGCTCCCCCAAGTCCCAACACTTGCTCATATTTATTGAGTACTGTGCTGCTTTGCATTGAATTATCATACCGCCGCCTGTCATATGAGACCGGCTGAACACCATCCCCACAATTTAGAGCGTCAATTCCCAGCGCCTATTAACTCATGACAACGACAACTGATTTCCCAGCGGCCTGTTTCCTACAACTTACACACAAATTCAAATTGCATTTATCTAATTTCGAGCCAAACACGCAGTCGCAGCCTTGGACTTGGGCAACATGGCATTCGGTATATCTATTTCCCCCAGCGAGGCGGCTTTGTTTGTCGATCCTGTTGCCAAACATGGCCAAAAGCCAGGAGCAATGATGACTCCTGTAAGTGATTATTCAATGCCTTGCATGGGCATTCATTGCCTTACGTTCGATTGAAGAAAACCCTTTGATCCGGCTGCTTTACAAATTTAATAGACTCCACGCTAATGAATCAACGGAATTCATTCACTTTTTGTCTGGCTACTCATACACCATTACACCACGTCCATGCAGATACGGATTCAGAGGGTTCAGGATATAGGATATAGGATATAGGAGTTGTATTGATTTGCATGGCCATGTTTATAGTACAATGGCAAATCCGCGACTCAGCTAAACTTTTTCAGGTCGTGCATTTCAATTGATTCCCAATGCCGGCATTCAATGCCGTTCCTCCTGGCTGCCGTTGCTTTTTTATGTCCTGTGCGAAAGCGTGTGTGTTCCTGTTTCCTGTCACGGATACCTAACTGGGGGGTTTAAAAAAAAGACAAAAACGTGTAAAAAAACAATGGAGCTTTGCAAATTACTTGCCAGCAGATGCACACACATCCAACTGGTTAAGAGCAGCTGCTGCCGTCACTTTAAAGCCAATGTACCGTGAAATCGTGCCTGCAACTCAATTACGGAACATAGAATCGACTCCCGCCGATCTGGCGGCATTAACATTAACATTCTCATTTGGCTTGCTGCCGCAGCTATTTATTTATTTATGCATTATTGAAAAGCATTAAGCATTAAGAGTTTAATGCGGTGGTTGACCAAAGCAATTTCATTGCGGCGAAAGCCAGGGATTTCCCTACGGTATTAAAGTCGCCCAGAGGCATACACTTTACTCAACAAGCAGGCGCTTTCTGTGCTGCCCATCTTCGCAGGGAAAATTCCCCAATATCTTGCGATTTGTAATGGTTTCTTTACCAGACTTCTCCTGGTCCGGCTCTCGAGATTCTTTATCTGGAGCGTCCTGCTTCCTCTCAGGTTCTCCACCAGCCCCATAATCTTCACTAGCACAATCCTCACACATTTCCACGGCACAACAGCTGGGAAACCATCCCCTAATGGCACCCTGCCTCCTTCTGCTCCTTTCCACATCATCCTTTGAGATCACTCTTTCGCCATACAGCCAGTACTCCTGGATGCGAGTCACATGCATGATGTCATTGGGCTCCAGGGCAATGCGAGGATCATCGGTGCAGGGTATCTGAAGAGATACCCACAGTCCTTGGGAGAAGATGGGCACCCAGTGACCCGTGGCAGGTCGAGTACATCTGAAGAGCCGAGTGCGAGCCCTTTTATCCTTCTTCTGTTGCAATTGCTCACAGGTGAGACTGTACTCATTACATTCCGGTAGCACTGGCCAGGAAATGCCATCGCCAGCGGATAGGAAGGCCTCGCAAACATTTGCCCTCCAGCCCAGATTGTAGGGAAAAACGAAGGCCTTTATCCTGTTTCCAGGATATGCAGTGCGACGAAAAACCGCCTTCCTCACAATCCAGCTCTCGATTTCAGTCTGGTTCTTCAATATCGCCTTCATCTGCATGTAGAGCAGCTTTATGCTGGCCAAAGCCGAGCCCATGATCACTCCAAGGCTGAATACACAGGCCATCAGATTTGTCGGGGTCAAGTGCACGGTGGCCATGTGACGCAATCCCTGCCTGATCCACCATCGCTTCTGTATGCCTTGTACTACAGCGCAGATTATTATGATGCCACCTTGAATACTGGCCGACAGGAAGAAGAGCAGGAAGTACACAAAGCTATCCTGGTTGGACCAGCCGACACAGGTGTTGATCCAGGGACAATGATGGTCCATCTTCAGCACACATCGATCGCAACGACGGCAGTGATGCGATCTGGGCGCCTTGTAGCCATCGCAGCGAGTGCAGAACTGCAAGAAAAGCGTATCCGTGATCACCGACGGATACCACTTGAGCGGAACGAAGCCAGGACCAACCATCAAGGACCTGATGAAGTGGTACAGGGTGCCGAATGTGTGGGCCCAGATGAGGGTGTAGTTTAATACGGAGCCAAGACTCTGGCCCGGAGCCCACCACATGGAGTTCATGTGAACGACGGTCCAGGTGACAATCAGTGTCAGGGTTAGAAGATTGATTGGACCCCAGTGCAGGAAGCGCCGCAGATCGTCCTTTAGTTCGGCGTTCATTTTTTCGAAAAATTCCTGGCTTTTCAGATTATTCAGTAATTCTCCAATTATCCAGTGAGTAAGAAATCCGAGCTTGCTGCGTCTGACACTGCAAATCGTTTGAGTCTCGCATTTAGTGTAGTTAAACAGGCCCAGTTGGCCCAAGCGAAATGCTTCTGGCCAAATGGAGGATTAATTAAAAGAGCCGGCCACATGTTGTTGGGCTGATATAATGCCCGCGGTGTTTGCGTGTAATTAAATAAAGCACAACTATTTAAAACTCCGCGGCCATTCAAGGATAATTTATAAAACGTATTTAAGGCATCGGCAACAGGCTGGGACTGTCGTTCGAGTATAAATTTGCTCTTAAGCCGCAAATGAAAAATATTTTAATCATACAAAAAAGGGTAAATAAATTTAAAAACAATAAAAGCGCAAAATGCAGGCCATAAATAAAATGCAGCCTTAGTGAGCCACAGTCGTCATCATGGCAGACACACAACCAGACTTTCCACATTTCCTCTGCTGCTGTAGCTGCTATTATTATTATTAAGAATTAATAGCAATATTTGCTGACGCCGTGTGGCTTAAAAACAAAAAAAAAAACGAAATATACAAACGGATATATGGAGGCGGCAACAAAGCAACGCACGAATTCAATTGAATTTAAAATGTGCCATAAATTTATTGCATTCAATATGCGGGTTGCCAAGTTCATGTGTGTGTGTGTGTGTGTGTGTGCGGACACAAAGAACGGTATTTTGGTATTATTTATGACGCTGCATATATAACAATAATATTTTGGTAGCGCCAAATTCTTTGCCAAACATTTACTAATGCCATTAATTGATGATAAATGTTTCGCCGCACGCAGACAAAATGTAATCGATGCTGGGCAATAGAAACTTCAAATGCGCACAGAAATGAAAGGGATTTGGGTTCTTTTTGGAATTAGAGCATACTAATTCAAAAGTTGGCTTTATTTATTAGTTGGAAATAGGCGTGTTTTCAATTTGATACATGACACGGTTTCTAAACGCAAGTAAAATCAAGAGTAATACTCTTTGATTCTGTTAAAGCAATTAATAACTAAATTTCTGAATCGAAATTCAGAAATTCGGTCAGCAGCGTAAGAAGCGCCCATAATTAGTTAGTCACAATTATTTGGGACCCCCAACTGGTGTCCTGATTTCGTTAATGAAATAGTTGGGTGCCCAGTTCGGACCAATTACTGGCATGCAGTGGGCCATCCACTACCATCTACTAAGTAATCACGCTCTGCTTTTCCCAGCTGGCTGAACACATGGCCATTGGAACGTAATGAGTCTCCAAGCGGGAGTTTGCGGGCCTTGCAAGTCTCGTTAACTTGGCTAACAAGCGGCGTCATTTACCACAATGCGCCACTCGGGCCTAACAAGCCAAGGTGACAATTGGCCAGGAACTGCGGCGCAGAGGAGACCAAGTTGTTGCAACGTCAATAAAGCATTCTCAGCTGTAAAAGTTAAGGTGTATCTATAAGTGTGCACATATCCTTAGTACCGAGCACACGTTACACCAGTTGTGTTCCTGATTTAAGGGCAAAAAAGTGCCATAAAATGATGTTATATATCAAGGATAAAAAAATTTGCTGGCCCACTTCCTGCTGGCCAAGTTGCCGAGGTGAATGAACGAGTAGAAAGCATTACCAATCGGAATTTAAAACACATATCCATGGATGGCACATAGCTGGTGGCTACATATTCTCACTGCTCTCTGGAAAAAGCAATCTATTTTGCCCCACAGATTAGATGGCAATAAAATTGATTGAAACATAATTGCAAATTGATACAATAGCCGAAGAAAATTGCCCGGAAATGCCAAGAGCCAAAGGCAATCTATAAATCTATAAGCGTATCGAAAATTACTTCAAAGCGAGAATCGAGTAGAATCCCAACGCGTCGCCATCGTATCGAACATTATGTGCAGTTAGCTGAACATTTGAGAGGACCTCATTAAACTGGCTCCGGCGGAATTTAAGAAAATCATCTCCAAGTGAAAGCGGTAACTAGGGAACATTATACATTCTAAGTGCCACTAAACTGCAGGGAACGACTGTGAGTGCCAAATTTAAATATTTAATAAATGTTTGCCTTAAATCAGACTTTAAGTGCATAATAAAATTCAAAATAAACACGTTTTGGAAACCAGAAGTGAGAGAGATTCGTCTCTTTTGCGCCCAATGATTTTTCCAGTGCATCGAAAGCAGATACTTATATCTGCAACCCTATGCACTGCAATGGCTTCAATTAAACTGTAAAGTGGCTCCTGAGCCATTAAGTGTCTTATAGTACACCATATAATTTTTCGTCAATGCCAAGAGTTTATTACGGATTGCAGAAAAGGACTGCATCTTGCCACTCGCAACTCGCAACTCGCAACTTGCGACTTGCAACTCGGGAAGTGCGCAGCAGCCGATGGCGGCTTTTGTGCAGAGATGCTCAAGATGAAGATGCTCGGTCTGTGCTGTATCCATGGAACTTTTTACGCAAACTTATTTACTTAATTTGAAAATTAAATTCCGGCATTAAAACGCATAAATGACACTTGAGCCCGACCCAACTCGCTGGAGGTCTGCGGGCAATGGCAATGTGTGTGCGGGTGTGTGAATGCGAGTTTGTTTTTCTTATCAAAATGCCTGCGGCAGAGTGCTGGCAAATATCCTGCTCGCATACGCCAGAGAGTCTATATCCCTTAAGACAAACAACGCGTACAAAACGAGTGGGGGTTTCGTGGGGCTGCGGAGGGGGCAAGGAGAAGGATCTGCTGAAACCGAGGCTCTGAGCCTGGCCAAGTGCACGCTTAAAAGTCAAAAGTGCAGAAAAATGCATGGCATACAAACGGGGGCAGGATGCAAAGGATGGGAATACGCAGAAGACGCTGCCAAGACAAACAAGCCAGTGAGGAAGGCATATAAATTGCGTTACTTGTGCGGGTGGCTTGGAAAAGTGCGGGGGGAAAAATGCCGACGGGGGGTAAACGTTTTTGGTGTTTGACATACGACGTGCATTAGCAGCAAAGTCAAGGATTAGCGCCACTTGTCTTAAGAGCCCGGCCCAAAGCAACATTGCATGCGAAATTTAAATGCCATCCAGCCATTAAAGTGACTGCGAATCAATTTGGCCCACACATACATATGGCACGAGCATATATCTACATATGCGATACATGGTGTCCCAATGGGAAGCGAGCGCTTAATGCGGCCAATTCAATTTGGCCAGCACACGGGAGTCCCATAAAAGCCAGGCCCGCGCATTGGACACAATTTGGGCATTTAAAGCATTTGCCTTTAATGCGAATGAACTTTTCAGCTACCCATTTCGACCCAGAACAGGCCAAATAGATAGCTCACCAGCAAAAAAAAAGAAAAATATGAAAAAAGGGGACAGAAAAAATGAAGGAAAAGCGGAAAGAGCGGAAAGACGTCAAGGAAATGCCAAAGCTATCGCAAACGCGTTTCGCAATTTTTGAAGGATGTGTTAAGTCAAAAAATATGCAAATTCCGCGCTCCCAAACACACACACACACAGACAGCCGTGCTCGGCCGGGCAGAGTTAATACGGCCCAAAGGCAGCGCCAGGATCTAACAGGCCCCCTCCAAAAAAATTCACATATATACACTGGATATAGACAGGAGCCACATGTAGATATAGTGGATGGCGGGATGTGCGGGCGCCGTACGTGTAATGCATACGAAAGTAGTGAAAATATCATCAATGGCAAAATATGAATATCTAAAAGGGATAACGAAAAATGGAGTCAAAACAAACTGACAAAAAAAAATAACGATTCTGAGCTGGAAGCGAGACGAGCGCCAAGAACAGAAGGTTTCTGGCCTGGGAAAAAGTGCAAATGTCAGTTTCGAAGTGCCACGAACCCAGCGAAGCGGGCCAAAACCGTCTCAGTTCAACTCGGTTCATGACATTTGACTGAAAACTAGACAATTTCCTGGTTCCCAGGCTGTTGTGCCGACATGTCCTGGTAATCAGTTTCACCCGTAATTGCATCTGCCCCAAATCGTGCAGCATCCTACTGAATGAGTACGCACGAAACTTTTTGCGAAAGGTATTCAGCTAGATATTATCTTATTAATGGCGTATTCATGGGCCACAACTTTATTTTTGTGCCGCTATCGCGAAGCGGAGCAGCAGCTCTTAAAAACCGCTCAGATGGAGTCTCAGATTCGCAGATCCTGTTCCACAGCCGGCATAAATTTGGCGAGAGTCCGTTGTAAATTACATTTGAAGCAGCAGCTCGCCCATAAATCTTTAGAAGCCAGACCAGGGCCAGTGTGGAAATAATGCAAATAAAAGTAATACACTGATGAGGGCATATCGAACCGCCGACTTAAGGGCACATCTATCTTTAAGGTATAATTAAGTTTGGAACTTTGCAACTGGTAGATATGGAAATACGTTGTGTATTTTCATATTATTTCATTACTCTTTAACAGAGAAATTCGTATTGATTTACTGCGTTTTGATAAGTTTAAGATCTATAAAATGAATATGTTTGCTTTTATTAATACAGCCTGCTTTGCTTTCACAAATAGAATTAAAGCCAATTTGATAAAAATTCATATTTGTCTTTATATCATTAACAATTTTGTAGTGTCAGCAGAATGTTTACGAACACACAAATTTCAGACATCTATCCATTAATTTATACCATTTTTATTTATACATAATTTATTTTTTATTGCATTATATTTTTAATAATTACTACTGCATGATTAACTGGAGTAAACAGAAAACCACTGTGCGCCAAAACTGTGTCATTCCCAATTGTCGCCCCGCATGCGTTTGTGTGCATCTGTGTATCTGCATCTGTGTGTCTGTGTCACACCGACAGTGACAGTGTCCTGTTTACGCTCTCGTCTGTGCCTGTGTGCGTGGCATCCGCCGCCTCGTCCGAGGAGCAACTTGAATTACGTACGCCGCAAGTGAAGTAATGAGCACACAGCTGCAACTTGAGGGACTTGGCGA